ATATAAGACACTGTCTTATTTTGGGGGAAACAGGGTAGCAATAGGCACAAAGACTGAAAACCCTAACTTCCCAATTTGTCTTCACTGAAAACTGGTTCTTACACTAAAAAATATTTACTCTGACCTTAAATTAAAAGTGGAAGAGGAATAGCCAATAAATATATTTTTATCACTCTTGCCAACTCTTTTATATTCTACTTGAGGCCGGGTACACAAAATTCGTGCACTCGGGGTGGGGGTGGGGGAGTGGACCTAAACTGCAGTCAGACATCCTTAGCGCTGCCACAGACGCAGGAGAGACCCTCGCCAACGCCACTGGGCTCCCCAGCATGAGCCCGGCTTCTGGCTGAGAGGCACTCCCCCTGGGTTGAGGATCTGCCCCCTGGTGGTCAGTGCACATCATAGCTACTGGTCTTTCCACTGGTTGATTTGCATATTAGCCTTTTATTATATAGGATTCTAATTTTATTAAAATATAGCTTACCAGTATATGCCCTGGCGGGTATGGCTCAGGCATTGGGCATCAGCCTGTGCACCCAAAGGCTGTTGGCTTGATTTCCGCTTTCAGGCTCATCACTACAAGGGGACATGCAGGAGGCCACCTGTTATAAATCTCTCTCCCCCTCCCTTTCCCTCTCTCTAAAACCCATTTAAAAATATTTTTTAACAAATATGTAAATAAATAAATAAATATAGCCTATATACACATATATTGTTTTATTTTACCAACAATATTCCTGATGGTACCTGTAAAGGCTCTTTTTTGTCTCCAGGGGTCAATAACTGTTAATTGTTCTAAGTATGTGTGTTAAATTATTTAAAAAAATAAACAGCATACAATGAGTGAGACAAGGGTCTAGGTCTTCTCTACACATTCAAATGCTACCAGCCTTCTTTTCCAAAATATTTTATTCAAACCACAGAGACTCAGATAATAAAGATGACAATATTGAGGCAAAAGGCTCCCCATTCAACCTCAAACACTCAACTCTTTAAAGATGTTACTCCTTTTCCTCCTTATTCAAGTACAAATAAAGGGATTTTACAAAGACAATGTCGTCCACTCTCACTCCTCCAACATCAAACATTCAATCCTAAGAAATACTAAACTGTCTAAATTTATTATTGCAAAGCTAGCTAACTAAACTTATAACACCTGCATTTTAGCCAAACCAGGCCAGCATACTGCTGGAGTAAGTGATGTTCTTTTTTGTAAATTCAGAGTTTCTCATTTTGCACCAGTATCCAGTAAGGCTAGATGCATAAACAGCAGCTTCCTAGAAGAGGAGAATTGGAAGACAAGACCACCTTCCATTAGAGCCTTCCAAGGAGAATTTGAGAGGGACTTGGAAGCTCCTAGAAAAGGCGTAACTGTCATCTCACATTTGTATTTAGGAACGTGGTGAGGAGACCAGGGAATAAAGATGTGTCTGATTCCACAGCACCCACACAAACTCTTAGCACTACAAGTCCAACACAAAACCTACTGCTTTGTGGATACTATTCTCTAACCTCTCACTTTCACTTCACTGAGTTAAAACTAAACCAAAGCTGCTTAGTAGCTCACAGAGTAATCCAAGGAGCACTGCTGATTTCCTAACAGCGGAATAACATTAGATTCACAGCAAACTTCCCTATTCATTAACGAGAAGTGCTGCCAGGCTGCCCAGAAATTCCCCTCCCCAGTCCCGACTTGGCCATGCCAGAAACATGAGGAATCAGGTTATGCTGCAATCCTGGCCTTTTTGGTATTTGGATCCAAAATAAACTGTGCCAAGGCCCCGAGGCTGTCAATGCAATGCTATTCAGAGTCCAGAGTGCTAACCATGACACTATGCAACCTCTCCTAATGCAATGCTATTCAGTGAAAAACCGTACGGCCAAATAAAGTCTCAGGTTTCATTTACCCAACGCCGCTTATCACACACAGACCTAGTCTAGTGATAGCTTCTAACCTTAGTTAATGGTAAGATAAACACCTGGCAGAAAGCCTCTAGTTAACCGGTAATTTATACTATTATACACTCAGATCAACAGTAATGGCAATAGGCTAACAGGATTCGGAGCAAAGGTTAAGTAATAAGGTCAGATCTGTTAAGTTTGGACTTTTTAAGGGGAAAGAAGGCACATGTGGGGAAGAGTAAAAACAAAACAAAAACAAAAAAACAGGCTCTCCCCACCCCACCCCCCATCCCCAGATGTGTTACCATTACCTCCTCAGCTCTAAGGGCCCTTCCTTTACCTTTAGACCTTGTTTCCTAACCCCGTTTCTTCTAGGAATTGCTTTTTCTACCTCTGAAACTTATACAATTAATGTTCTCTTACAAAAACAAACAAACAACAACACTCCCACGTGCCAAAAACAGTTCTAGGCACTTCGTGTGCATTAACTCGTTTAATCCTCACTAACGCCTCCACCAAACTGATACGATCCACCCCCACCTAAGTATGCGGAAACAAGAACAAAGAGGCTAAGCAACTGACGCCTTAGACAGGCGATGGCTGGGCTTCAGATTCCACCGGAGTCAGGGGCCCACAGCGGACCGGACCGGCCTCACCCGCGCTCCCTCGGCTCCCGGCCCCTCCTTTAGGATCCGCTGCTTTCCTCCCACCCTGCCGAGAGGGCGCGTTCCTTCCATTCCCTACCCTCCTTTTCACGCACACAACACTCCAGCCCGGTCCTCAACCTTCCCCCCCACGCGATGCTCCTGGACACACAGGGCGCCCGATGGGGGAGGCAGGGAATTGGGGAAACCAGAAGGGAAGGGCAACCCAAAGGCGACGGAACAGAAAGTGGGCTTTGAAATCGGATTCCTGAGAAGCCCAACAGCGGACCGCAATAATGGCACCGACAGCCGAGACCGGTTTGGCTCAGTGGTTAGAGCGTCAGTCTGCGGACTGAAAGGTCCCGGGTTCGATTCCGGTCAAGGGCATGTGCTTTGGTTGCGGGCACATCCCCGGTGGGGGGTGTGCAGGGGGCAGCTGATCGATGTTTCTGGCTATTTCTCTCCCTTCCTCTCGGTAAAAAAATCAATAAATTATTAAAAATAAATAAAAAATAATGGCACCGACAGCCCGTCCATGCCAGGGCGCAGTGGCCTGGCCAGGCCCGCCCAGGAGGGCGCTCTTTGTAGGTCGCACAAAACGAACTGGTGTGGCAGCGGGGAGCCAGGGGGGGGAAGCGGGGAGCCAGGGGGGGGAAGCGGGGAGCCAGAGGGGAAGCGGGGAGCCCAGGGGGAAGCGGGGAGCCAGGGGGGACAGCGGGAGCCCAGGGGGAAGCGGGACCCCGGCTCTGGAGGTAGGGAGCCTCCTCGCCCCCCGCCCCTCGGGCCCGGCGGCCTGCTCGGCGGCCTGGAGCGGGTCCCCGCACCCTCCACCGCGGGCGCCCGCGCGGGGGCAGGTCCCGCCCGGGGCTCGCCCGTTCCTCCCGGGCCGTGGGCGGCAAGGAGGGGCCAGGCCCCGGGAGCCCGGGTATTCGCTCCCGCCCTCCCCGCCCCCCGCCCCCGGCGCCCTCTTCTCCCTCGGAACACCGCGTCCCCGTCAGGACCCCGCGCCTCAGGCCCCGCGGCGCGCACCGCCCTCGCGGCCCCGCACTGGCCCCCGCGCCTTCCCCCCGGCGGGCCCCGGAGCCGCCCGCCCTCCGGGCCCGGCCCGTCGGGGCCTCACGGAGCGCCCGCTTGACCCCTGACCTCGCCTGCCCTTCGCCTTACCAGCTCCGCGGCCACCTGACAAGCTGTCCCCGCGCCCGGGGCTCCATAGTCCTGGAGCCAGCGCCAGGCAGCCCGACTGCTACACGCCCCGCCATTGGCCGGCGGGGTGGCAGCCGCACATTCCCATTGGCTGGACTCTCCGTCTTCCCGGTAGCGGCGTGCGCGCGTGGCAACGGGACTGCGGGTCCCGAGGCCCCGCCCACCCCGAGGTCAGGCTGGGGGCGGGGCCCAATTGGTGGGGGCGGGGCCCAAGCGGTGTGGGCGGAGCTGCGCCCCAGAGCGGTCCAGCCCCCAGAGTGTACGTTTGGAGGCTCCCACCCAGCAGACAGGTAAGTTTTGTGCAATAGTCCGCTGTGGCCTCACGTTAGCTACTTACTGACAACCAGCCAGTTTCTTCTGGAGACCTGGCTCGCCCTACAAAGTGCGGCTCCACCCTATAAAATATAGCCACCTGCAAAGACCATGTCCTCTCGCCCCCAGAGCCTCATCATAGTATCTGTGCCCTATCAAGAGCACCCCACACCTGAGAGGAACTGCGAAACATCAGCCAGTGCAACCAGTTCGACCGCATCACAGGTGCCTTACTCGCCAGCCTTGGTAATGAATCCTTTCTCTCCATTCTACCCGTCTGCCTCACTTCTTGCCCCGAGATTTATCTCCACCTGCCCCAACGTGACCCCACTTCAGCCCCACAGCCTGAACCCTCACTCTATAGTCTTTCTCGGAAGATGGCAGTCAGACCAGTGGTGCAACAGAGGGGAGAAAACAAATGGTCTGACAACCCACCCAAATTTTCTCCTCGTTCAGAGCTATAGAAACATTCGTAGACACCCTTCCCTCCCTCTTATATCAAAGATAACCAAGCTTATTTAACCAACTCATAAGCCTAGAGAGGGAAAGCAAAAATGCCTCCCATTAAAACTGCTGGGAGACAATGTTACTAGCTGTAAAAGGCGAGTCCAACAGGAGAGAAGAAGGAGGGTGAGCGGACAAAAGAAAAATCCAAATAAAGTACAAAGCAGAAAACGCGGGGACCGAAAACTGGGCTGAGCATCGTCAGTTATCTGGTACAGGCTGGTTCGCACACAGACTTTCTCCTGGAGAGGAAAGAAAATGCACAAGTTAGTCCTGGGGATCTCTCTGTAGCACACCTGGGGGGTTTCAGAAAGTCTCTCCAGACCAGAGCCTTTCCTTGGGGAGCCTCTGCTGCAACTAGAAAAACGACATGGCTGTAGCCATCCTTCTAGGTGGGCTCCGCTGGGCCACGTCCCCGGCTGTGGAGTTACTTACTTAGCTCACAGGTCGGTGCTGCCTCCGTCTTACGCTGCTTCTTCATCGTGCAGAGCGGGTGTGACTCCCTGCAGCGCCAGCTTCAGTCTCTGGAGGCAGACCAGGGTGCCTCCCTCGGTTAAATACGGGCACGGAGGCTGCTCTGGGCAACGCAACACTGATAAAGACGCAGCAAGGAATGTCAAGCGGCCAGCCACATCCTTCAAAGCATAAGCAAATTTCATCTTTGACCTGCCATGAAAGGGGAAGCACCATCTAGCTGCCACTCCTAGATACTAATGAACAATTAATTGAGTTTGAAAACGTGTCATCTGAGATTTCCTCCGTTCGCTCTGACGGGAGACGGAGCGGCGTATGAAAGGGCGAAGTAAAAGGAGTTGCCCCTCCTCCTGGAGTCCAGTTGGTTGGGGCACTTGTACCTGGGGCTGCATGTGCCTGAGGACTCTGCCCCCCGGAGATGTAACCTGAAACCAATTAACCCCACGCTTGACAGGCCACGAGTATTTTCCATGCGGGTACGTGAGCCCTGATGCAATTAGGAGCGGTCTCCCGGTGTGCGGGGAAATGCCACCGGCCCATCCCTTGGGATTTTAAGGACCTGCTGGCATTTGTCCAATCAGTGATTCGCGGCAGGCAGCAAAGTCGCACAAACCCAGGACTCTGTGACTGAGGAAAGAAAGAAAAGAGAAGTTTTAGCATGTGTGGCAGTTAGATACTTTATTACTGAGTTTGCTTCCAGAAAAGGTACCAGCTACATGCTGTAGTGCATGCAAGTCTGGACTTTAGGGTTTTACTAATGACAGGTGAGGCACTAAGAGCTATTTAGCGTGTATGTCGGAAATCTTTTGAGAATGGTGTAAATAAATGGAGCTAATTGAATTGGAGAATCAAATTTTAAAATTACTTTATTGGTTTTACTTTGCTGAATTTTGGGGGCGTGTTGCCTAAAATATTCCCATGTTGTATTTCTTCTTCCTCATCTTTGAGATGTTTGACAATAACAGGGTCAATAAACATTTTCTGGTTTACTATACACAAGTTATAAACCTCTTGAAAAAAGATGACAGTTTTAAAGTCAGCATAAAAAAATACAAATTAAAGATATCTAAATATAAAACACTTCCTTTTCTAAAATCTGTGTGCACATTATTAAAGAGCTTAATAAATATTAAAAAAGAGAGAGAGAGAAGAAAGGAAGGAAACAAGCAAGCAGGTATAATGAAGGCTTTTGAGAAAGAGGGGAAGAAGGGAGGAAGGATGGGAGGAAGGGAGGAAGAAAGGAAAAAAAGGAAGTACCTTGAAGAGCAGAGGGGAGACACACACACACACACACACACACACACACACACTAAATAAATAAATAAATAAATAAAATAAAACAGCAGAGGAAGTCCAGAATTTCTCAATGTGGAGGAATTTAAAGGTGAGGAAAATCTGCCTCAGGCAAATAAGTAGCTGAGTAGACAGACCAGCTGGAGAGGCCAGATGGAGAGGAGAAGCTTTGGGGTGGGGTAAGGAGAATGGGATGGGATGCTGGAAGGAAGGAGTTGCTGGCTTCAGTAGTTTTAAGGAAATGTGCTTAGGTGTGGAGGCTAGAGGCTGGAGCAGTGTCCCAGCGTGCAAGGCCACACGCAGGCAGCCAGTGGTGGGGGAGAAGTCGGGGAGGTTGGCTGTGTCCTGGTTTTTGGTAACTTGAGTATGGTAATATTTACTTTACTAATGGTAATGGGGGAGTTGTGTACTTGAGCAGAAAGGTTTTATTATGGAATGTAGGCCGACTTCCAAGTGGTATAGGTTTCTCTTTTTCAGGCTTATTTTCTTTTTCTTTTTTAAAAGTATTTTTTTATTGCTCTGGCCACTTTGGCTCAGTGGATAGAGCATTGACCTGAGGAGTGAAGAGTCATGGGTTCAATTCTGGTCAGGGACACATGCCCAGGTTGTGGGCTCAATTGATTTCAGAGAGGAAAGGAGAGGGACAGAGAGAGAGATAAGAAAGATCAATGATGAGAGAGAATCATTGACCGGCTGCCTCCTGCACACCCCTTACTGGGGATTGAGCCCACAACCCGGGCAGGTGCCCTTGACTGAATTTGAACCCGGGACCCTTCAGTCAGCAGGCCACCACTCTATCCCCTGAGCCAAACCAAGCAGGGCCAGGCTTATTGTCTTTTTTTTTTTTTTTTCCTTTAATTCTTTTTTAAAAAAATATATATTTTATTGATTTTTTACAGAGAGGAAGAGAGGGAGATAGAAAGCTAGAAACATCGATGAGAAAGAAACATTGATCAGCTGCCTCTTGCACACCCGCACTGGGGATGTGCCCGCAACCAATGTACATGCCCTTGACCAGAATGGAACCTGGGACCTTTCAATCTGCAGGCCGACGCTCTAGCCACTGAGCCAAACTGGTTTCAGCAGGCTTATTCTCTTTTAAAAATTTTTATTTTATTTTATTTTATTTTATTTTACTTGAGAGAGAGACACACACACACACAGAGAAATATCAATTTGTTGCTCCATCCATCCATGCACTCATTCATGGATCCTTGTGTGTACCCTGATTCAATTGAACCCCCAACACTGGTGCGTCTAGAAGATGCTCCAAATGAGTTACTTGGCGAGGGCCAGGCTTATTTTCTCATGCTTCTTGTTTGAAGCTTTGAGGACAGATTTCCAATGCCCAGAGGAATCGTAGATGGCAAGTTTTATGATTTTTATTTTTAACCAATTTGAGGGAAACAAATTAATTTGAGACAAAATTAAGGCAAGTTTTTTTTTTTTTTTTAAGACTTTTTATTTTTAGCTTGGGTAATGAAGCATTTTAGTGAATAAGTTGTGACTGTCCAGTTTGGATGTGTAACTTGGGGGGGAGGATTTTAGTGAAAGGTGGGGGGCAAATATATTTTGAGTTCTTTTCTCTGTAGGTCTGTCTAGAATCTCAAAGGCAAAAAAAGAAGAAAATCCAGTGTTTATAGTTTCTAGACTAGAGCATGAGCAGTTCTCACTTTGAGGTCTGTGGTGGAGTTGTCCATTAGAGAAATGTATGGTGGTTATTCTTTTTCCCACCCCTTAATCAGATTTTTAAAGTATGTAACCCCTGCCCTAGCCAGTTTGGCTAAGTGGATAGAGCATCAGCCTGCGGATTGAAGGGTCCCAGGTTCAGTTCTGGCTAAGGGATGTACAGGAGGCAGCTGATCAATGATTCTCTTTCATCATTAATGTTTCTATCTCTCTATTCCTCTCCCTTCCTTTCTAAAATCAATTAAAAAAATACTAAAAAAAAAAAAAAAAAAAAAGTATGTAACCCCTTAACTTTACTAGAAGAATTTTGGGGTGGTCTTAACAGGGAAGAAGATGAAGGAGAAAAAATAAATCTACTTAGTACCATAAAAATATATGCAAACAAATGTGATAGAAATAAATTCCTTAGAATGGGGGGGAAGGAAGGGGAAGCAGTAATTAATTCATATTAATCAAGGAAGGTAGGCTTCCAGCAAGTGGCTCTAGTTCCTACACAGAACAGTCAGTGGAAGAAACTAGGAAGAGATCTGCCAGGACCCCAGATTATGATCTTGATCTCGTTGGTCTGGAGTGCCCTCAAGAACTAGAAGTCCTATCACAACAACTTCATCTATCCTTTCTGTCCTTGTTGGCCAAGTGTCCTAAGGCAAAACTGGGCTGGCCACCAATTTGTCCCCTTTCACAAGAGAGAAGTTAGATGAAATCATCCAACTGAGGTGTTGGAGGAAAAAGCCCTATTTTCGTTTCAGAATTCCAAAAGCTGGAATGGGTTTTACAGTGAGTCTCTGCCATAGCCTCATAGTTTGCTTTACTCAGCAGTTTCTCCCAACATACACACTCCACTCCTGCCTTCTGGGCCCCTGATTCCCACATAGTAATGTTATCAGACCTTAATGCCAGGTCCTTGAGTATCAACATCCTAAAAATGAGCACTGAACTCAGTACAAGTCAAGCAGATAGAGTTTATTGAAAAGAACTCGTGGAGTTACCAGAAAAGAAAAGCCAAGCTCTCCAAAGGGTTCTTGGGGATGGCTTGTGCAGGGGCCTTGGGGTGGGTGAGGAGCTTGGGAATGAGAATGAGGTCAGTGGTCCCATGATTCTTGTCTGTTGGTTGATCCCAGGGTAGTCACAGGATGTTTTCCATGGTCCATGGGCCACCCAAAAGAGCCTGTAAAATAATGTGCCAACATTTTGGTTACCATTAAAGGATGGGGAAAGAGGTTGGTGGGGAGTTTTCTTGAGGGGTGGAGTTAGAGGTTCAGAATTACCAAGTTTCTAAAGCTGAACAAAATTAATTTAGAAAGACATCTTGGGCCTCCAGGTAAGATGGCAATGTAGGTAAACGTGGTGCTAGAATCCTCCCACAACCGCATCAAAAATACAACTAATCACCCTAGCCAGTTTGGCTCAGTGTATAGAGCGTCGGTCTGCAGACTCAAGGGTCCCAGGTTCGATTCCGGTCAAGGGCACATGCCTGGGTTGTGGGCTCAGTCTTCAGTGTGGGGCATGCAGGAGGCAGCCAATCAATGATTCCCTCTCATCGTTAATATTTCTATCTCTCTCTTCCTCTCCTTTCCTCTCTTAAATCAATAAAAAAAAAATAAAAAAAAATACAAGTAATCGCCCAGCTGGCATGGCTCAGTGGTTAAGTATTGACCTATGAACCAGGAGGTCATGATTTGATTCCCTGTCAGGGCACATGCCCCGGTTGCGGGCTAAATCCCTAGTGTGGAGCATGAAGGAGGCAGCCAATCAACAATTCTCTCTTGTCACTGATGTTTCTATCTCCCTCTCCCTCTCCCTTCCTCTCTGAAATCAATAAAAATATATTTAAAAAAAAACAAACAACTCATCTTCAGAACAACCATCATTCAGAACCACCTGAAATCTAGGTGAATGAAAGTCCTAAAGAATTACAGAAAAAGCTACATTGAGCCTGGTAGGAGGGGTAGAGGCACAGAGCCATTGGTGTTTTGTAATTGGGAGAAATATCTTGGCTGTGGAGGTCCCCCCTGAGAAGAAGTC